CAACTCTTGATCTTGGGGTTGTGACTTTGAGCCCCAAGTAGAAGGTAGAGATTACTTAAAAAAAATTAATACCAGGAGATGGACGGATGGACCAAGATCTGTTTTCTACCTTTACTTAGCTATTACATGCTGATAAAGATTTCTTTCTCCAGTCATTCCAAAAGCAGAGTAGATAGCCAAGTGTCTGGGGTTCAGAGGGCCACTCTTCAGTCTACACTGCAAAGTATGCAAAGAATGTCTACAGTGTCAACAAGAAGAGCAATAGGTGCAGCAAAATACATGAAGGAGAAGCATTGACTAGACCATCCATCCATGGACCTTCAGAAGGAGCTGGTTATATGGCTATTGAAGGCATTGGCATGGATTACCATTGATATGAAATGGCAGTCGTTATTTGTTGGTTTTTTTTTTTTTTTTAGCAGTCGTTATTTGTTTAGAAATTCTTCCACTTGCTGAAACTAGGCCTCTAGTTAAATAAACCTAGTATTGTAATAATTTTTTTCTAAAATAATGATGGTATTACTGTATTAAACATGGACTAATGTGAAAATTGGGATTTTCAGAGGTTAAAATTAATTCCTAGGGACTCCTGGGTGACTCAGTCATTAAGTGTCTGCCTTCGGCTCAGATCATGATCCCAGGGTGCTGGGATCGAGTCCCACATCAGGTTCCTTGCTCAGGAGGGAGCCTGCTTCTCCCTCCCCCTGCTTGTGTTTTCTCTCTCTCTCCAAAATTAATTCCTAAATTATAATTTTCTTTGAAGAAATAGAATTAGATAACCGGGTTGGAAGATGATTTCTTGTCTGGAAAAGGAAAAATAAAATGTGCTCCTGTTCATGTGTCTTCAACTCTTTCAATTAGCTTAATATGTATTAATATATATTGTTCTGATAAGTATAGGTATATAAGATAAAACCTCATCAATTAGCTATTCTTGAATTCATTTGCATTTGATTACTAAGAAGTAACTTGTTCACAATCAACAATTATAAAACAGAGCACAGTATAACACTGCTCTGTCTGAACTACAGTAGATCTTCAAAACATCTTTGATGTATGTGCTTCTTTAGGTCTTACGGACATATTAAAACATATGTTGAGCTTTCTAGTATTCACTTTATTTAATGAGAAATGTTTTCCTTCTTGTTTTGCCACTACCTTCCTCCTCCATTCCACTACCCCCCCTTTTTTGGTTCTGAGCAATGATTCTGTGTGTTCTTTTCCTATTTAAAATTTAAAGAGTTACATTTGGGAGAGGAACAATGTAGGGAAAGGAAACCCCTGGAGTGTGTCTGATGTGATCGTTTTCCTCTGTGCCACCATTTTTCCTCCCGCTGTGGGAGCGCTAAATGATAATGCCTGATACCTTACTGAATAAAGCCTGACATGGTTTCCAGCTGTGAGCATGTGATCAGTTTTTATGTTTGATTTTTGCACACAAGTATACTACTGCAAGCATGTCCACAAACTACTTCACAAATGCTTAAGGGAGGAATTGCTATTGAGTGAATCAAACATTAAACAAACACTGAGTGATTGCATTAAAAAAAACTACATTTATTTTATAAAACCATGTTTTTGTTCAAACCTAGAATTTTTAAAAATTAATTTATATTTAATGGTCAGGTAAAACCAGACAAGTAACCCTCAATAAATTTACTTTCAGGCTAATTCCAGTGTGAGATGAGTTGTCCAATAGAAAAAAAGATTATGCTGCTCCCTGTACTTTGCTGTAATGATTAAATGTGATTGTAATTATGTAATGGGTTGATTCATTTGTGAGAAACATTGACTAATGTATCCTTTATTATGTCATCTTAAAATGGTGTCTCATAGGCTGTAATTTTTAAGTCTATATTTTTCTTGAAGCAGGATATTGTACATATACGATCCTGGGTTTCTTGACATATTTTGGCAATATGATAGTCTTACATTTCAGACATTTTATTTTAACATCTTTCCTGACAGACGATATATATTTCTTATTGTTTTTTATGAAGTTTGTGGTATGCCATAATGTTTGTTAAACACTAAAACTTACCATATACTTCTTCCTGGCTCTCTGATCAGTGTAGGAAAAAAGGCGTAGGGGGTCCTGTAGGAATACACTAGCAGACAAAAAAGAAGGTATTTTACTTTTAGTGATAAGAAAGCTCCATCATTGGTTTGGGTTTAATAGTGTAGAGATGGGAGGGAAAGCACATAATTTATAAATTAATGAGAAATTCCTATAATCATATTTAAAAGCAAAACAAAACCAAATAACTCCTTTCAAGCCAAATTCCTGGTTTTCTAAGTCCCACTGCTTGTCCTCTTGCAAGCATAAGAACAGGATTGGGGGCCACTCCTACTCTCAGGCTTGTGTATCAGGTGTGATACTAGATTCTGAGGGATAGGAAGATTACATTTAGAGAGAGTCAAGGTATCAAGTTTCTCAACAAAAGTAAAAAAACAAAATCAAGCATTCCATTCCAAATTTCAACTTTTTAAGGTGTGGTTGAAGTGCATCTTTGCAACATGAAGAGAATGGAGACAGGCTGGTGATTGTTCTGGAATGACTCTGTTAGTGACTCCATGTTTGTTTTTAACTTCATATGCATCTACTTTGAACTCCAACTGAACATTTCTAGTGATGATTACTTGTTTTCTGTTATTGTAGAAATCTGGTATTTCCTGATTAGCCTAATAACTGACAGTTTCTAGCTTTGTCTTTACTGTGGGTGACAGCATTAAATCACTGTAGACATTTAGTCATCATCTTTAGGATGAGTCATTACAATTCCAGAGAAGATAGATAAATAAAGCAGAGGAATGGCAGTGAGTCATTAAAACCTCTGTAGAGATAAGGAAACTACATACCGACATTGTTTTCATGAATTTTCCTTACTAACATGCTGGCAAAAGAACAATACTAGTCATTCACATAAACACTGAATCTGTGAATCTCTGGGGTTTGAAGATTGTTTCTAGTCTTGTTTTGGATTTCCATAAACCATTAACTATTCTCTCTCTCAGTCTCTCTCTCTCTCTCTGTATAGACACATTACACATGCTACACACATGTACAATATATATGAAAATGTACATATGTAAAAATGCATGTTAAATATATTTGTTAAATGTATATATATTAGGGCGCCTGGGTGACACAGTTGGTTAAGCATCCTACTCTTGATTTGGGCTCAGGTTATGATCTCAGGGTCATGAGATCAAGCTCCACATTGGGCTCTGTGCTGGGCGTGGAGACTGTTCAAGATTCTCTCTCTCTCCCCCTCTGCCTTTTCTTCCCTCTGCCTCTCTAAAAAAATGTATATATGTTAAATGTATGTGACATATGTTAATATACATATATTTGATGTATGTTAAATATGTATATATATGAGATATCTATCTGTCCATCCTTCCATCCATCCATCCATCCATCCATCCATCCATCCATCCATCCATCCACATTTACCCATGTATTGTCTTTTGAAGTATGTGATTAGTAAATGGACAACTTTCTTCCAATTACTACTTTAGAATTAAAATATGTATGTGTGTATATATATATATATATATATATATATATGGTGTTTGGGGAGTGATGGGGCATTAGGGTAGGCATTTGCCAGGATTAAAACTTTCAGGACTGGTCAGAATATGGTTGGGGGGGTGGAGCGGGGCAAAGGAAGGGGGCAGTAGAGAATTACCAGATAATTTATAGCAACTGAGGCAGTCTGTATCATGGGCAGATTGGAGTCTGTCCAGTCTCTCTACATTTATACACTTAAGCTTTTTTCTTCTATTAATGCAGATAATAATATTTCTTATCCCACATATACCAAGCTGCCATTCCCAAACAGCTGCCATAGACCAGATATCTTGCAGTTTATAACATCCAGAGGCATAAAAGGGGTAATGTCTCTGTTTTATGTATCGTTTAAAGAGGGAAAAAGCTCTGCTAGAAACTGCCTCCTCTAGTCATCCCCTCATGTTTCATTGGCCAGAGCTGCAGCCCTTGGCCTGTGTTTCAACTGATTACAGAACGCATGAGTCTTAAATTTTTGAGGCAGCAAAATAGAGGACTGTGGTCAGTTCAAAATAAGAAGGTCAGTTCAAAACAAGAAAAGACAGTCTTCTACAGCTTCTTTCTTCAGTTTCAATAAGAAAGAACCTTTCTGCCCCACCAGGGTTTACCATTTTTTGGAATCATTGCAAATCTTATCTAAATCCTGTCTGATTTAGGAAGATGACAGTGGCTTTTCGAATTTTTCAATTTAAGTCATTCAGAAATTCTTTTGAAGTATAAATTAATAAAATATAAGCAGTCTACCACCTTATATTTTAGGTAAATCTAGATTCTTAATCTGCTCCTACCACCACTGTTTTGCAATTAAACAGCCAAAAGAGTCAGTCCTTAGAATGGATTAATGACCTGCAAAATTCCATTTAAACATAGCCATTCTTGAGTTTTATTACTGGAAAAATACAAACTGGTCTGTGGTCATGGATTATTACAGATTCACTCCAGACTGCTGAATTGAACTCTGATGAACCTGTGACACTCTCCATTAAACCTCAAAATGAGCTTTCTCTTAATTGGGGAGTAGGAAGGGAAAAGTAAACTAGTGGCTGGTAAATGCCAGACTTGTGAATCATTGCTTTATTTTGGACAGAGTGTTGGAACATTTTTAGATGTGCATGGAGGTGAAGGAGAGGAAGTGGGGAAGGAAGTCTATTCGTTTGTTAAGCCTAACTCTGTTCTAGGCAATGGCATTTAAAACAATCTAAATATAATATGAAAGGAAGATAGTATTGTAATCATTTTTAGATGATAAGATTGGCTTTAGAAAGGTTAAACGACTTGTACTGGGCTAAGTAATTAGTGGTGGATCTAGGATTAAAACAAAAGTATACTATAGATACTTATGGAGGTAAACGCTAGAATGTAGCAGTAAAGAAACCAGACACAATCTTTGCCCTTTGGGGGCCCACAGTCTAGTGGAGGAAACCAATATTAAAAAAAAAAAAAAAAAAAAAAAATCGTGCAGCTGCGCAGTGGCTGGGGCGTGCCTGTTGGGGGGATGCCTGGGTGTTGTCATCTACTGCCTCCTGTCCCTTTGCGGTAGACTCCCACTGAGAGGGCCTCATGAGCTTGCCTGGAGAGGCAGTAAAGTTTACCTCCCTGCCTGTGCATGTTTGCTCAGGTTGTTCTCAGATCCTAAACTGGGAGGCCAGTGACGGAGATGACCACAAAGCTATTTGGGGGACAAGGCGACTTACCACCTTGGAAAGCCCTGAGGTAGGGACTTAAATTCTGGGGCCGCTGGCCATCTATGTTTACATTCCCCTCCCCAGAATTATTCAGGGTCCAGTGAGTGTTTTCTGCTGGAGCTTCTCGGCTATAGCATTGTTGATTTCTTCTCTGTTCCTTTATGTTTCTCTCTTTGATAACCTTTTAAAAACATTGAAAACATGAGACTGATGATGATTAAGCAATAAATAGACAATAAAAAGAGATTATAAATAAAATGCTTCTTACTGTTGTCTCCCAAGAAGCCTAGAACGTTTGAAGTAAATTATGGAAGTTTAAAATATTAAAAGTAAAATTAGAAATGTACATATGCTTAAAATGTAAAGCAATCATATATAAACATAAGTATATACAATATTTAATGTATAATAAAATTATGTCATCATTCTGTAAAAAAAATATTCAAAAGTGTACATGCTTACAAATCGTGATAAATCTTATGAAGAAAAAGTGCAGGGTGTTCTCACAAGGGGGCATAATTTTCGTTGGTATTTCCATTGGGAAGTATAAGTGGAGACCTAAAAAGTGAGGTAAAACCACACAAATGAAGAATGGAGGCAATTCTCTTCTCTGTGAGGAATTGGCCTATGTTCCCTAGGTGGGAACTGAGAGCTGGCCATTGTGACCAAAGCATAGTAACTGAGGGATGGTGAGATGAGACTGGAAAATAGGCAGGAACAGATTTTTGTAGAGCTTTATAAAAACCTGTGATATGGATTTAGATTTTTACCTCAAGTGCAGAGGAATACTACTGAAGCAAGGGATGTCATAATAAGATTTACAAAATCATTCCTGGTGCCATGTAGGAAATGGATTGGAGGGATTTCATATCTAGGTAATTTCAGTAAATATTTAAAATTATATATGTCATAACTACTTGTGTCTAATTAATGTTAGTTGAATGAATAAATAAATCAATTTCCAGACTAAATGTGGGATAATGCTTTAAAGACAAATTATTTTTTGGTAGCCAAACTGAAGAAAGAATTACCTCCTAAAATGGCTCTGAGAAATTATTACTACATAGTTCTACTGACAAAATGAAATTTACCTATTTTAATTTTTTTCTTTCTGTTATGCATTTATACTTTAAGAGACTAAGCTTTCCAGAACTGTCTACTTAAATTAAATTTGTTTGTTTTTTTGAAACCTTGGCTTTCTTTAAAGTTTCCTAATGTTAAATACCTAGCAAGCTGCCAAGTGATTTTAGAGTAGAAGAAACTAAGAGCCCAAAATGTGCCTATAGTTTTTAGAATTCTCTGTATTTGGGTCTTTTAAGATATAGAAGATGTATTTAGAGGTTTCTTGGTTCCTTTTCCTCTAAGGAGAAATATTAATGGGCTTATTATGAGAGATGTACCAGTGTTTTATGAAGAAATTATTACGAGTGGTATATGCATATTCACTTGTACATGAAGACAAGCACTGACCCTCAAGGTGTCCATTTACATTTTAAGCCCTTTTGGCAATTGTGTGATCCGCAAGTGAACTATCCACACCCTTTAAAAAACAAAAACGAAATAAAAAGCAGGATTGGAAGGCTACACAAAAGATCATCTAACCTACCCATGTTTATATTGCAAGCAGATAATCCCCTAAACTTTTTGAAGCAGTTGGGCTCTTTTTCAAGGAAGGACAATGTCTCTCCCCACTGGACATGCAAACATGCTAAATCCAGGTCATAGAGCACCTGTGATAATCTCCTTGAAAGCAGATCTGAAGTGAGTGACCATGTGGGCTTTGTACTCCCAGGGACCCCTGGATCCAGGCATTTGAATATGCTGTCCTCTCTGTCTGGAATGTCTCCTCTTCACCTTACATTTACCCTTCAAAATGCAGTGATGGTACCTTTTCAGGACAGCCTTCCTTGAATTTTCCTTTAGGTTAAATTAGATTACACTCCCTTGTTTTGGACCCTCTGAGCACCATGGCATTTATCACAGCTGAAATTGTACAAGTATTTGCTTAGTTATTTGATTAATATCTAGTTTGTGAGCTCCATAAGGTTAACGACGGTGTCTGTTTTTGCTCAATGGCATCTGGTATATGTGAGTGTAACCAGGTGAAGGCAATTGATATCTCCATCAGTGTCAGAATAAAGTAGCATTTTTAAGATATTTCTTACCAAGATTAAATTTATTATGAAATATGTCTCATTATTTTTTACCAATTCCTTCTCCTTTTTCAAATAAATCAACCAAAATCATGACAATTGAAATCTTTTAAGCGGTTTTATCTTCAGTGTTTGTGACCCATATGTAGAAATTCATTTACATCATGACCCATGCCTGTATGCATCGTATATATGAATAAAAGTTTCACAAAAAGCTTACATTCTACTGCAAAACTTTTAGTCCATTGTAAAAAAGAAAGGGTGCTGATTGTAAACCAAAAAACTGATTGCATCTTCCACTAACAGGTTGTGAAGTAATATTAGAAAAGCACTAAACTGTTGATCTAATTAGGGTTCTCTCCATTACAAAATGAATGACTCAAAATTTAAATTATTTAAACTATTGATAGTATTACACATGCTTCTAATGTTTCTCCTTTATATTATTCTATGTTATCCACATTTTTTTTTTTTACAATCGAGTATATTACATTTGTCATCAGAAAAAGATTAGGAAAATAAAGTTGTTGTCTAGTTGTTTCTTTGTCACTGATGTAATATATACTTCTTTGATATACTAACATTCTAAATCTTAACTTCTCACTAACTTCTCAATTCTCATTGGTCTCATCTTACCAAAGATTTCTCTTCTTCAAATCTTCATACAGTCCTTCAACTTTCAGTTTGTACTCTGAAGAGCTATTATGTAAAACTGGTTTCCCAGCCCTTCGTTGCAAAGTCTCACCCACTCACATCCAATATATAGATGCTCTGAAGACAAGTACTGTGGGTGTCCCTTACAATTTGGATGATCAGCTTCTATCCAGGATATGCACTTATTCCAGTATTCCAGTATGCATGTATAGTACAAAGTGCATTGTATTGTTTGTGTTTAACATTGTTTGTTAGTATCATTATCAACATGGTAATGTTATTAATAGCATTGTCAGAAACAACAGCAATCACCAAAATAACAGCCTTAACAACAGTGGCATTTACAGTATGCCATGATATTAATTATCACAATGGATCTGACAGGCTGCTCCTAAGAATTCATATTAGTGAATAGTTTATGATTTTAAACTCAAGAGGAAAACTAGAAGCCACATCAATCCTAATACGCCCTTGTCTTCATGTACCTCCCTCTTTTTCTAAGTTTAAAAAAGCAATGAGGAAAATGATAAAAACCATTACCAAACCAAATTTACTAATGGAATTAAATAAGTTGTTAGCTCTATCATAAAGGAATATGACAAAGAGTGCATTTTTTTTTTCTCCATAATTTGATCAGTGTCATTTGGCTGGATACAAGTAGTTCACCAGGAGGGAATGTGCATACTCAACAAGAGGAAGCCATGAAAGGCAAGGGTTTCTTGCAAATTTAATATTTCTAAATATAATTCTGTTGAGAAAATATTTTCCTCTGTTGGAGAAAAGAATGGCCTATCACCTCTAAGCTAGTTTTATAGTTTTGTATGTTGTGGATTTTGTAGTCATGAACTTTAGGAGTGGGATAAAAGTCATTATCAGTGGAATGTCCTCCTGATTGAAATAGTAGAACTGAACTTCACAAAGGAATTTTATTTCTTCTGTGTAAATTAAAAGATGATTGTTATTTGTGAAATGAACTTCTAATCCTGATTCTGAAAGCTTGTTTACTTACTCAACAACAATTTACTTATTAATTCCTGTGGCACTGGACAGATTTGAATACTTAGTAATTAAAGTGTCCTAGTGATTAGGTTCCTAAAAAGCATTAAGTTATCTGGTTGATTATTTACAGATTTGGTTACCACAGAAGCAGTTGTCTCATGATCCAGCCTTTACTCTTTCTTATCTGAGATAATTATTGCATCAAAATAGACTTGAATTTTACCAACTGTTTTCTTTGATGGTCTGCTATTCAACTAGCTGCTTCTTTTTTTTTTTTTTTCCTTAAGTGCGCACTGTGCTCAATGTGGGCCTTGAACTCACGACCCCGAGATCAAAAGTTGCATACTCTACCAACCTAGCCAGCCAGTCGCCCCTCAGCTAACGTCTGTGAGAAGCCTGTATCACTGATGGCCTTTTGAAGGCAATGAGTATGTGATACTAAATGCTAGAAATAATTAGTTAAGCAGCAGTCTAAAGTACATGACACATAGTCATTTCTAATCTCTAAGACAGTCTTATTTCATACTTGTTTTTGGTGTCATAAGAGCTAAAATTAGCTAAATAAACTGTTTATTTGAATTGTTAGGTTTTGTTTTTTAGTTGTGTCTTATATTTACTTATTTAAAGTAAAGTATATAATTGCATTGGATTTGTTGAAGATATTTAACCTAGGGCTAACTCATATTATGGCTAATTTGTAACACATGGTTAGTGAGGCAAATGACCTTTATCTTAGATCTTAGGAACTAAGTAAGATGGGGCATATTTAATATTGTGCTTCAGTTATAAAATAGTACTTAGATAACTAAATTAAAACACAAATGCAGGTTCTTTGTCAAATCAATATGCAAGAGTTGCGTCCAGCTGAAATGCTTTTTAGGCAACATGGCTGTCAATAGTCATGGGCCTTTTATGAAAGGAAAAGCAGTCACTGATAAGTTAAAATAAGGCTAAAATTAACAAGTCAGGAAACGACAGATGTTGGCGAGGATGTGGAGAAAGGGGAACCCTCCTACACTGTTGGTGGGAATGCAAGCTGGTACAGCCACTCTGGGAAACAGTATGGAGGTTCCTCAAAAAGTTGAAAATAGAGCTACCATATGACCCAGCAATTGCACTCCTGGGTATTTACCCCAAAGATACAAATGTAGTGATCCGAAGGGGTATGTGCACCCCAATGTTTATAGCAGCAATGTCCACAATAGCCAAACTATGGAAAGAA